TTTGACCTATAAGGCAGATGTTTACAGCTTTGGAGTGGTTGCATTGGAAATTGTTGCTGGGAAGAATAACATGAAATACCGACCAAATGAAAATTTTGTATGCTTTCTGGATTGGGTGAGAACAATCTCCATTAATTTCCTTGCACTTGTAGTCGTGTTTCACATTGACCTGCAATAGTCGAATTGCATCCATTTAAGTGTCGAAAAGGAAATCATTTTTCATCATTGAAATGAAATGGCCTCCTTTAATATGTTGTATTTTAGGCCCTTGTTCTGCAACAAAAAGGAAACCTTTTGGAGCTAGTGGATCCAAAACTGGGTACAAAGTTTGACAAAGAAGAAGCCACGAGGATCACAAAGGTGGCTCTATTATGCACTAATCCATCACCAGCACTTCGGCCTACAATGTCCGGAGTGGTGAGCATGCTCAAAGGCCGTATCGAGGTTCATGAAATAATCCAGGAATTGAGCTCTTATGGTGATGACATGAGATTTAAGTCATTAACAGGATTCGATCAGGTTATCCTCCAGACAAGTGAAACTCAAATCTTCTCTTCAATCGTCAGATTCTATATATATGGGATCATCTTCTGCATCTGCCCACGATCTATAAAATAAACTTCTTTCAACTTTGCTCAAGTTAACATGTAGCAGGCAACTTTCCTTGCGGTCACACACAGAAAAATCCCATTAAGGAATATGCTTCAACCATTTTTTGTATCTCTTTTCAATTAAGATAAAATTCAGGGGGGGGGGGAAGAGTTTTTGTATCTATTTTCAATTAAGATTAAATTCAGAAAAAAATAATAGTTATAAAAAGCTCATTGCCGAAAAATATAATAGTTACAAATAGTTCCATTGCCGGGAATTGAACCCGGGTCTCCTGGGTGAAAGCCAGATATCCTAACCACTGGACGACAATGGATTCCTGACAGTGAAATTAAATATAATATATATTTTGAATATAGTGTTAAAAGTTATTATAGGCTTATATAGCGTGTATAGAATAAATCAATGGAAAGTGAATATCATTAAAACTTGGAACAGTTTCCGAATAATCTTCAATTTTGGATTTGAATCTATTTTTTAAAATCAAACCATTTTAAGATAATTTTTTTTTAAATCAAACCCTTTTAAAAAAATTAATTAGACCGTGATTTAACCCTAATCATTAATTAAAATTCATGTCTAGGAGATCAAAATTAAAGCTAAATTTATCTTCATATCTTTTTGAAAAAAACGAGATAACATGTAATTTTTTAAAGCATTCATTTTTTAAGCTTTGTGGCAAGGTTTTGAAAACCGGACCGACCGGTTTAACCGGGAACCGTTACCTTGTCCGGTTCATTCTACCTCGGTTAAATCGTTACTAGTGAACCGTAAGAAACCGCTGAACCGGCTGTGAACCGTTCGAACCGGACCCGGAGTGAACTGCTAAGAACCGACCATCAATAAAAAATTAAAAAAGTTAAAAACTATTTTTCTCCTTTTCGTTTCCAGTCTTTTCGTTTTCAGCTTTTTAGTTTTCTTTATTCTTATTTTTAGGATATTTCGACTTTTATTTTGAAGGTTAATCAACTTTTGTTTTGGTTTTAATGTGTAATGTTTGGAGATTTTTATTAGAAGTAAATCAAGTAATGAATGATGTAATTTTGGTGTTGTATTTAAGTATTATAGTTGTGGGGATGTTTTTAGTTTTTTATTAAATGTTTTTAGTATTTTTATTTAGTTTTTTAAATAATCATGACGTCATCCGATTCTTCTGACCGGTTCGACCAGTTGAACCAGTGAACTAGTAGCACGGCCGATTCGGTGACCGTTCCGGTTCTGAAAACCATGCTTTGTGGGAATGTTGTAACCTTTTTCATATTGAACCCACCCCCAAACCTAGTTTAATTTCGATTTTGAAATACTAGTCCCCAAAATTAGATATTTGATTGTACCTAGTTTAAAATAACTGATGATGATTGTATTTTGTCAAACATGTACATATTTTCAAATGAAATATTTTTCAATGTTAGGAAGGATTCGAATAAGTCATGTTCCTGAATTAAATTAATATATTCTCCCATTTGTTGTTAGAATTTCCCCCTTTTAATTTGAGGTCTACAGTGGTCTGATGAGAGAGATGCCAATAAATAAATAAATAAATTTGTAGTTTAAGATTATACATTGCTTCACGCATCAAGGAACTCTAGAAGTAGAAGGATTAAGTTTTTTTTTCTATTTTAAAATTTACACCTAATTCTCATTTACTTTAATTAATTCATATATGTATTGAGTTATTTCCTAACCTTCCAGCTTTTTTTTATAATTTTCAAATTTTCGACCTCTTTTGAATAAACAATAAATATCATAGTGATAGAATTTATTTATTTAATCTTAGTTAATCATCAGAATTATTCATTTAGTTATATATGTAATTAATTAAAAATTAGGGTCGAGGCACATAATTTATTAATTTATCATAATATAATACAGCCAGATTAAACAAATTCATATTACATGAAAGAGTAAAATATACGTTTAGTATCTAAACTAATATTTTTTTGGTATCTAAGGGGTTGTTTGTTTACTTCAGACTGATTAAGTGCTGAATGATTTAGAGGCTCTGGATGAATTAGCTCTGAATGTGAAATGTTGTTTGTTTACTGGCTCTGAATCATTCAGAATATACTTCTTTGCTAAATCATTCAACACTGTTTTGTTGAATCAGTCAGCACTAAATCATTCAGAGGTGCGAAACAAACGCATTGAATGTTGAACGGTTCAGCATTCAGCGCTGAATGATTCCATTAAGAGGTAAACAAACAGCCCCTAAACCTTATTTTTTTTAAATCGTATGTAACGTTTAATTTAGGTTTCATTTTGATACCTCACCGTTAAAAACTTAACGGTGATGTTGATGTGTCACTATAAGATAATGTCATGTTATTATTGAGGGGAAAATGTCATATCAACAATTCTGTTAATTTTTTAACTGGAGGTGCCAAATTGAAACCTAAACAAACGTTAGGTATAGTTTTAAAAAATAATAAAATTTGGGTATTAAAATGAAATGAAAAAATAGTTTAGTTATTAAACGTGTTGTCTACCCATAAAAATTAGCTATATTTTCATGAATATGAATATATTATCCTTTAGAATATTTATTTGTTTGTGGCGAGTGCTAAAAATCTCTACTATATAATTATCAAGTAGTATATTTTGTTTTACTTAATTAAATAACTTAATCAGCAGCGATTTTAATGAGGAATTTAATTAATCTTATCTCCTAGTTATTCTTAATAATTAAAGAGAATCAAAATCAAATAAAATGGGAAGAAGACAAGAATCAGAGTTGGTTTAGGACTACAATGTCAAGGAATATTGGAGAAAAAGCCATAGTTGATGAAATCACCATTAATGAGTTTTTTTTAAATTTTAATTGACTAATACTATCTCTATAATCATAACTTGAATTTTATTTGATTTTTTTCATTGTAAATTGATGTTGACGATCACAAAAGTCTATTATAAATTATACATTTAATTATTCTATTTGTTTGATTGTTGATAAAAAAATGTTTTAAATTTTAAGGAACGATTTAAAATGAGGGACATGATTTGGGACTATATAGAATATCTTAAATATTCGAGACTAATTTAAAATAGTAATAATAATTTGGTGACATCTTATGAAATTAACTCTATCTTTAGTATTAAAAGATAATAGCAAGTATAGTGATCACACAATAAAATAGACATATATTTTACATGGAATTAAAAAATCTTTTCGGAAAAAAAACCACAAATAGAAGAATTTTTTTTCCTCTAATGTCGAAAACAAAAGAATACAAAGGATTTTCAAAATTTGACTTAGCTTCAACCATAACCATTGGTATCTATTCAAAGGGATAATTAGTTACAAAGGAAACTTGTTTAGTAGAAATCCACTCAAAGTAGGTTTTCTACTATTAATCAACATAAAAGAAAATAAGTTTCTTACTTTCGATCATACTAGGTTTCATACTTACCCCAATCAATTTGAGTCAGATCAAATTCGAGTCAAACACTAATAATCTCCACCTCGACATGAATTATGAAAGTACAAAAAGTTTGAGACAAAATCATAAATTCGATGAAACATCAAAGTTGAAAAAAATAATTATTCACATCGTTGAACAATTCTCTATCTTGAGAACATATTCTCCACTTCTTCCATGGAACCCTTAAAGATGTATTCTTCAACAGTGATTGTCAATTGAACCTAAGTCTTATCCAAATTTAAATTCAACCGTTACATCGATTTGATCATAATGAGTGTCAATTGTGCTCACAATTGTATCACTACGAACAATATCATGCACAACATGATCTCGATTATTAATAATAATTTTATTTTTTTCGATATTAATCCATGTGACTAATTAAACTCTCTTTTTCTTTTTAAAATTATTATGCTCACAAAATTGAATTACGTTATACTTCCCAAAACCCGTAATACTTACGGTTATAATGTTAACACAAAATTCTCCTTTGCTTGATTAGTCAAGACATTTTCAACACTTTTATACTTTCTTACTCTTTTTCCCCCCCGGCATACTACTTTTATACTTTCAAATCTTAATAAATTGATTAACAAAATTTATCCATTTGTCTTTCCATCACTCTACGAAGCAAAACCTTAGAGAAAAAAGAATATAACAATAACATGGAAGGCAAATCATTTCATCCTAGTCAATCAGATTTTCAGATCTTATAAATATTTTAATAAATAGAATATATCATAACCTCTTAGCTTCCGATTATAAAATACAAATATATATCGATTTAATGCATATAATTAAAAAACATATAAGTTAAAAATAAAAATAATTAAAAAATTTGTGGAGGGTAATTTAATTTGAAGCTGCATTTTTAATAAATTTTAGAATTTATTATATCACATTTACTTGCACGTCCTTTATAAACAAATACTCAAAACCCAATCTATAAACGTGCCGCCCCTCCCTCCCATTTTTTTTTTAAAGGAACAACCTCTCTCCTTCATCTTCTTCTTCTTCGACCCAACATCTTCTGCTTCATCAGTTTCTCTTCCGATAAGCAATCATGGTCGCCGTTGGTAGTAGGTTCAACAAAGGCGTTAACCCTTTTGTCTCTGATCAACAAGTGGATGGAAACGACAACGTTTCATTGGAGGCCGGCGCTGAATCTTCTTCTTCTACCACTTTCTACGACATGAAACTGGCTTTTCCTAAAAAAGGGTATTTTTTTTACTGAAATTTCTGTTAAGTTCGTTGTTTGCATATTTTTTCGTTTTGACGTAATGGGGTTTTGTCACAGTAGAAAATCCATACAGAAAAGACTTGTGTCAGTGCCATTCAAGGACTTTGATGGTTCGAGTCTAAAGGGGGAGCGTGCTCCACCGTCCGATTCTTGGGCTTGGAGAAAGTACGGCCAAAAACCCATCAAAGGTTCTCCTTTTCCCAGGTTTGTCTGCGTCGAAGCGTGAGTTTTAAAGTTTGGGATTTTATAATCTTGAGCCGTTGACTAAGGCTTCTGTTTTGATCACGCGACGGCGAGCAGAGGTTACTACCGTTGCAGCAGCTCCAAGGGATGTCCTGCAAGAAAACAAGTCGAGAGGAACCGAGCGGATCCTACGATGTTAGTGATCACCTACTCCTACGAACACAATCACCCATGGCCAACTTCTAGAAACAACAGTGCCGCCGCGAATCAAGCTGCGGCTGCTGCGGAAGCGAAAGCGAAAGCGGAGACGCCAACGACGGCCACAACAGTTGTGAAGCCTGAGCCGTCTACTTCGCAGCCCGACACGGGAACTGAATCAGGGAGGGAAGAGAGGTGCGCTGATCTGACGGGTGATGAACTCGCTTGGTTCGGGGGAATGGCAGCGACGTCGTTGACGGTTTTGGAGAGCCCGATGTTTGCGGAAAGAGACAACGGTGACGTGGCGATGGTTTTGCCGATGAGGGAAGAGGACGAGTCGTTATTCGCTGATCTGGGCGAGCTACCCGAGTGCTCGTTTGTGTTCAGGCACCAACGGAACGTGGGACCACAAGTTGGGATCTGCTGACACATGGCCGAGGTAGGAATTTAAAAACCGGCGGAGGAATCGTTGGTTTGAACGCCGTGCCGTTATCGTGTGGCACAAGATACCACGAAATGGAAAACAACAAAAGGAAAACGAAAATCTGTAACATTATGTCACGTTTATCTTGATGTGAGCTACCGCCTACCAACATTTTCCGTCGGCTGGAGGGACTTAATTGAATAGATTCGGTTTTAACTTGACTCATAACAGAATTTCAATTGTTAATTTTAGCAATGATGAAAATTTTGGGAAATAGTCGCCTCTTTAGACTTTCTTTTATGTAGTTTTCTTCATCACAGCACATGTTCCATTTTCATACGTTGTGAAATAAGTAGGAAGTTAAAATTTTTACGTTTAATCAAACCATACAGTGTAAGATGATCAAAGTAGATGTTGCATGCTTCTAGATTATGTTCAAATTTAGGGTAAATTACACAAATGGTCCCTAACTATAAGGTATTATTTTATTAAGTCATTCAACTATTAAAAATTATAAAATAGTCCTCTGACTATGTTTTGTTGAGTCCCTCAACTATTAAAAGTTACAAAATGGTCATCTGATTATTCATATGTTCCAAACTCGCCCTTTTTTGGTAAAAAAAATAACACTCATATGAGTTGTATGTTAATATACTGACTGAGATATGATAACCATTTGAGATTCTTAGATCATATTTTAACATATCAACAGGTTAACATCTAGCTCAAACTATCATCAATTTTTAACGAAAAATAACAAGTTTAGAATATATAAATAGTCATGTGATCATTTTGTAACTTTTAATAATCGTGGGACTAACAAAGCAAGGCACTACAGTCAAATGATCATTTTATAACTTTTAATAGTCGGATGACTCAACAAAGTAACACCCTTGGTTAGGGGACTATTTGTGTACTTTATCCTAAAATTTAATTTAAAATGTATAAACCAAACAACCTCAATAATTAAAGAATTATTGTTATTCTTAGTTTAATATATTTAATTGATCATCAATCATATTTTATAATAGTTATCCGATTATGTATATATTCTTACAATTATGGACATACTTCTATAAGTTGATTGCACTATAAGTTCTCAAACTATGATTTTTATTTTAAATTAATTTTAAACTTTCTAAACGTTTTATTTTTCATCCCTAAATCATTATTCTTGTTCTAAATTAATCTTTAAAATTTTAAATATTCTAATTTTATCCTCCTCGTTCTAAATTGATCCTCAAACTTTTGGTTTTTTCAACATCGTCCTCAAATTATAGATATATGCTAATTACATTCTATGTTAACAAAATCATTAAAAATATTAATTTTAATGTAAGCACCTATCTGTATTATGTAATAATATGATGCGACTAAACTATAACTAATGTTGGTTTTAAATAAAATAATGATTTAACTTTGAATTGTAGAAAGAATTATAAACAAATTAAGAAAACAAAAATAAAACAAGAAAGCCTTTCAATTTCAATATTCAAGAAACGTGGTATAATAAATATCCTTTGTGTCATCATATCATTACATAATACAAGTCAGTATTTACATGACAAATAAATTTTAACGATTTTTATTAATAAGAAATATGATAAATAGATCGATAATTTAAAGATAAAATTACGAAGTCTAAAAATTGAAAATTAATTTAAAATAAAGCAAATACTATTTTATAATATGTTCGACAACCCCATATTGGTTATGATAATTGAATTAGTTATGGACAAGGATGTTTAGCTGTTTACATTAATTACATATGGAAGGCGGACCATAAAAAATTGTGTTAATGTAACTCCTATCCAATAAACTTTGTAGTATAAGAAAATATTGTTTCTTTCAGAGATTTTAGATTCAATCATTTAAATCTATAGGATGTGTGTTGTCATTGAATTAAAAAAAGTTCTAAACAGATGTTTTTTATACATATTTTTTACTTAGTGATGGATGTACAAATTGTTTAAAGCGGACACGTGTACATTCTAAAATCTTATTGATGCTTACATCTCATATAAGAACATTTATATTATATATATTTATCTTCAAAAATATTTTTTGATCTTTTAACTTATACTTATTAATTTTTTTCATTTTCATTTTGTTACAAAATGGGGCTACTGTGCTCGTGGTTAGTCAAGTTCCTTCTCCAGGCTTGCATATCAGTCTGTAGCAGTCTTTAGATTTCGGAGTGTCACACTGTCATATTTTTTATGCCATTGTAAAACAGGCCGAAAGATACTATTAAAATTTTCTTTTTCATAAATTCTAAATCTAATCTTAAACTTATGTATAAAAGTTTGAAAGAGAGATTATAGGGGGAAAGCTGAATACTCCTAGTGAGTTTAGAAGATTAATGTAGGAAAAAATGTTCATGGACCAATATGGAAGAAAGATAAAAGTTCAGAGGCCAAACATGTAATTAAGCTTAAAATAAAAGATTGCCTACCTAATCTTTGGTTGTATCTTAAGGTTTTCTCTCCTGGCTAAAATAGCCAGTGAAGCAAAGAATGGCAGTATTATCAACCCCTTGTATAAAATAAAAGAGAAACATATATAATACGAGTAGTAGTTGAGGAAGAGGATAGGAATTGAGGGACCCAAGCTGATATTAAATGGTGAAACGTTTTAATTGCCTTTGGAAATTCAAAATACTGGCTTAAACATTCCAGGGGTCCTTTTAGTAGTTCAGAATTTAAAATGTAATCCTCACTTTAATTTAGTACCCTGTGGTAACTGTGAATACATGAAGTTAATAAGCACCCCTGTTGAACCTGTTGAACCTATTGAACTGTACAGTGGAAGACCCTTTTCTTCTTCATATGCCCCTTGTCTAACTAAAAACATTTGAATGAAAAATTAAATCAATCTCTGCTGATCTACTTTAAGCACCCTTATAAGAAAATTGTACAAAAAACTAAGGTTTATGATGAACTTGATGCAGTTGAATACAAACCCTGCCCACATCCTTTATCAGACTTCCGATTGGTGGTCATCGTAATCCTATCTTGAGCAGCAACCTCCCTTCTTCATAGCCGACACGTCTTTACCGACATCGGTTTTCTCTCCTTTGGAGGGCACAGCCAAAACGTTCTCTTCATCGCCTGTCTCCATAGCTTTATTGCTCACGACATGGTAGATCTGTGTTAGAACTTCAGCGAATGCATTTTCGACATTGGTAGCTTTCAGGGCAGAAGTTCCCATGAAGTAGAGGGATTCTTTCTCGGCGAAGGATTTCCCGTCCTCGGTCGAGACGGCCACAAGGTGACGGAGATCTGATTTATTACCGATGAGCATGACTACAATGTTGGGGTCCGTGTGACATCATACACAAGAAGTGCACCAACAGCTCCTCGGTAATAGGCACTTGTGATGGCACGAAACAAAACAATAGTACAATCTAATGCAAACTCCATAGAGATGGCACATTTCAGCTAAAAGTTTCGCAAAATGGGAGGTTTTTATCATTCTTATGGACCTAGCCTCACTTCTTCCTTTCCCTTTCTTTCATTCACTCAAAGGATGAGAGGATATAGCTTTATATTCCATCTTAGAAAACATATGAGAACTTAGTAGCCTTACATCATATGGGATCAGGGAAATCAAACCGTAACACGAACAGCCACTAACAGCTACAGCGACATTAGAGATATAAGATGCCTTTACACAGATCGGAAAGAGCTTAAAATGGAGCAATAGCGTCTCAGCCATAGGAGCAATACATCAGTTACCCCACAATGACTCAAATGGTCCCCTAACAAACTATCATTGTTTACTCATTCAAGCTATTTCTTCCATAATCAATTTACCACACGGTAGCTATAAGTTCCCTGCAACAACCTGAAATATCAGATGAGACTGATGCTAAACACTAGATTAACAAATTCTATGCACACATGGTGATACAAGATACTGGAAAGCAGTCATCTCTTTGTGACTAGTGATTACACATAACAAAATCATGAAGCAAGTAGCAAGGAAAAACAGATACTCAGAAGCTCAGGCTTCGGAGGCATAAACTAAATTACCATGGTGTAATCTAGCTCTAACATGAAGTCACATATCTTATATCTATAAAGGAAGCAAACATTTTAAGGCAAAGCATGAACATTTGTTACTCATTGTCAAGTCACTTAACTGCAGAAGAAAGCACACAGCACATATAACAAGATCACAAGATAAAGAAACATAAAGATCTACTAATCCGTGCTTTCAAATCTTTGCAACACAAGTCTATTAGGAAAAGAAAGTAAATCTAAGCAACAGATTTGTAAAAACAATCATAACACCATTTACTCGCATGTTGCTCACAGATCTAGATATACAAGACCATTTTTCTTTCTAATATGCAGGTAAAAAAAGATTTATTAAATCCCATTTTAGATCAAACCAAACTCTCCCAGGATAAAAGTATAAAGGAAACTCAATTCCCTTTTGATATTTGCTCACTTTTGTAGGCAAAATCAGAAGTGAACCAAAAACACCCAGATGGAAAACAGGAAAGGAAGGCAAGGAAGTGGTAAAGAAAACCAATACCTTTCTTGACCAGCAGTGTCCCAAATCTGAGCCTTGATGACCTTTCCGTCGACATTCAAGCTACGAGTAGCGAACTCAACGCCAATAGTGGACTTGGACTCGAGGCTAAACTCGTTCCTGGTGAACACAGAGAGCAGATTCGACTTTCCCACTCCTGAATCACCGATCAAAACCACCTTGAAAAGGTAGTCATAGTCATCCTCTGCTCTGTAACCAGCCATCTTTCACTCTCCCACACAATCACATCTGTTACACTCCTTTAGAGCTTTACCCTCTTTCTTTGCGTCAAGTAATAAACGAGGGACGGCCCGTTTCTTCAAGTATATTAAAGCCTCTTCTTTTAAAACTCAAAAAAGGAGGAAAAAGATCTAGTTTTTCATTATTTTGGTGAGTTGGAAATGTAAAAGACTGATTGTGTGCTAGGTTGGACACCAGAAAATGTGGGGATTTGTCCTTGAAAGTTGGGGTCATTCTTGAAATGAGTTGAATGCGATTTTTACCGTTATAGTGTCATTTTACTGTTAGAAAAATGAGGGTTTGAATGCTTCGAATGAATCACTGCTGGTGTCGAAGCGGAGTCATACGCTGCCTGTCAGGAACACTTGCAGAACTTCAACGAAAATGCAGTCTTTATCAGCCTAAGCATGTGTTTACCATCTAAAAAGAGAAGCCAAATCTGGGATTGGGGTGTACTTTCTTATACAAAGGCTATCAGCTATAAGGCTTGGCTCATCAAAAGGCACATAGCCAGCCATAAGAACAAAGAGAATAATAACTCAGCAAGGTCAAATATCAGCTGATATACCATCATGGCATCATCATATCTTTTATTTTTTAGCACCTGATAAGAAAAATATCAGATACCACGGTAGGAAAAAAATTGCAGCTGGGTTTTTTCTTTGTTGGGGTGATAATTAAAGGTTGGTCAGGAATTTTGGGGGAGGGGGGAACAGGCGTATTCCTTTTGGGAAAAGGTAATTTTGTAAAATATAATTATTAGTAAGATTACAAACGAGTCGTTCAATTTTAAAAGTCACAATCCAATCACTCAGTTAGTAAATTGTTATTGTAATACCTTTTACTCGATTCCATCGAAAATCGAGCTAAAAATATCACATTAAATTATCGAAATATAAACTTATCGATTCAAACAACGAAAACATACAATCATATAATTCATTTAAGCATTCATTGATTTCAAATTATCATATTTTATATCAAGATATAATCATATTACAAATTTAGCACTAAATCTTATCTTAAGCTATTGTCATTAGTTTAATTCAAATACAAATGCAAACAATATTGAACACGTTCATTGATCTTTAGTGCATACATCAAAACACATTCAATGTTTAAAGAATTCATCTCATATGAAGGTTTAACAATTTAATAAAACTCGTTCATCCATTTAGCTTATCAAACTCTATTGTAGACCGATTCCATTTTGATTATTATTCTTACTTTTGTTAATCAAATATTAGATACAATCTCAATTATGTTTTAACCAACATTCAATTATTAGCAATATCCTCATACGTAGTATGGTCTATAGCCTTAGTATTTACACGCACAATAGTATATATTCATTAAGCTATTGGTTCCACCTAGTCTCGGGTAACATTCTATTTATACGTCAAGCATACATTTATAAACAATATTAGTACTCGGTGGCACGTAAACAATCATGTACATATAACAATACAAAGGGAAACCCAATCTCACTAATGCATAAATATAATTCCTACCAATCAATAATACAAGAAATAGTCGTATGGTCTTACGATAGCAGTCATGCATAGATAATAGTGGATGAACCCGATCTCACTAAAGCCATCGATAACAATTATCGACAATATAATATATATAAATTATTGTTTGGTCCCACATAAGTTATCAGGTTAAGAAATTATGGACATCTAATAATAATCATCATATGCGGTCACAAATATTCATAGATACTCGTAGACCACACACATCAACATTGTCATATAAGGTCAATCAAGGTAGTTTAATACACAAATGATTGCTATACATCAATCAAGTGAGGATATTTTCTCTCACATCACTACGTGACACATTCTCTCTCTTAAAAATTATGCAAAGAAGTATGATTCATTTAGCAGCTTATAACATTTTAGACATTAAATATTTCAAATTTTATCATTACCCATTATTAGACTTTAAGAGGTTATCGTATTCGTTTAATTGACTTAATACTCATTTTCATTTGCTGGAGTGCTCAAGGACATTTTGATTACTTTACTTATATAGAGATATTTTGATTATTTATCTCTCTTTTGGATATTTTAGTCATTTAGCATTTAGGCCTCCCTTAAGGCTTGTACTCTAATTACGAGTCGTCCATCATTCCCTTGTATATTTCAGAAGTTAAACTTTAACTTTGTATACAGTGAGGATCGAAATTAGGTATAGGTTATTGATATTCAACCTTAGGGTATCGATACTCTTGGACGGTATCGATAATAGAATGGCATACTGGAATCTCAACTTTTATATCAGTATTGATACCCAACATTCGATATCAATACTTAAGAGTCAATATCAATACCTCAAGCATATGGCAATCAGTGAGTCACGGGAAGTCGATAATATAATTATTATATTTTGCGATCATCTTTGGCGGTAAGAATATGTATAATAATAAAATTACCTCACTCCCCAACGTTTTCACAAATAATCACTTTATTCTTATTTTTTTAACGTTTCAATTTTTGATCAAAACATATAATGTTAAATAAAAACCATTAATTGACTAAAATTAAATATATATTACTGATGTGATATTTTTATGTGATTAATGGTGATGTGTCACATCACTATTCCATCTAATATTTAACAACTCATTGATTTGTCAATAATAATATTTTAATTGAGTGGCTAAATTATAATTTTTAGAAAGAAAAAAATTTGACATGTTTGAAACCAAACTAACGATTTGGAGTGTATTTTATCCACTGAAAAAAAATACCATCAAAAGGCTTCCCGCACCAAAGAGTACCCGGTTTCTGGTAAGTTTTAGACTTAAACTCTGCAGTTCTGAAAGAACTAAATGGAAATCATAAACAGAAACCACTAGTTTTTCATCTGCAACAACAGAATCTTCCCATGTCGGCCATGCCAGCACAATCACTTTTAATTGTCTCAAAGCTGCTGTCCAACGAAACTGTGCTTCTTAGTTTGCATGGTTTATAGGCATCCCCATTCAATAATGAACAGTACCCAAAATTAAAAGCACATTTTGTAAAGGATTGATCTTGGTTACCAACCATGAGATTTGGCAATGAAACAAGACAAGAGGGTCCACAAAAAGAAAGAATATATCCCCTTGAGCCCATACCAAATCAAAATTTGCAGTTACACAAAACAAGCTTTCCATTGCTCAAATCATTGCTTACCCAAATGCAGGTTTCCTCTCAATTTCAAGCCTTTTAGTTATGCCTCCTAGTCCTCTCCATGATTGCATACTGCCATACGTGTCTTTTTCAATAAGGTTCCCCACTATAACACCATTGTCTACTTCTAACAACATTCACCACCACCCTTATCTCGTTGTTCTCTCTTGTGATTTTTATCAATGTCAAACTCTGAATCTGAAGTTTCCTCATCTCCATCTTCTGATTCGGTTGCCAAGCCGTGTCCTGCTAAGGTTCAAGTGGTTTCGAAATCTGTATCCGACCGCCTTCTCGACAAGTTCTTCGATGTGTCTGAATTCAACTTTGATTACTCCAAGAGTGGAATTTGGTCTCCCCCTGTTAAAAGAAGTGCCTTTCTAAGCTCCCCTGGAAGGATATTCAATGAACAAGAGATGCTCGAAAGGCCCAAAGTTGTAATGGACAGACGTCGTAGTAGTAGAAGATTCAATGTTTGTTTCAACGTATGATGACTCTTTCATTCGTTTTCAGCAACAAATGGGATTCGACTAAACTCGGATTCGATTCGAGTGCTGTTGATGGATCTGTTGAACTTGTTCTTGTTGTTTTTGCAGGCATTTTGCTGTTCTTGAAGCAACCATTGGAACTTTTCATTGGTTACCCTGTAAGTTCATTTTAACAACAAAAGGAGAAAAGGAAGTGATTCCTTTATGTAAATGTTATACTAATTTTCTTGGAGAAATATACATCTGCTTACTACCTCATCTGCAATTCATCTGGTAGTTTTCTTGGGAGTGTTTGTTTTCTTGGAAAATAGCAAAAACCCGCCATTGTAATCTGAACAACAGCTTCTGATTGTTCAACCAATGTCCAAAAAAACACCTAATTCTCGTTGTTGAGTATCATTCTGCTGTTTCTTTTACATTATTCTTATTTGCATGAGCTTTAAGATTAATGGAAACAAGATAAAAAAGATGCTCATTTGGAATCACATGCTACTCGTGCTTCATCAGCTTTGGATAGGTAAGCAATCCCTAAAATCACAACTCAATTCCATTTCAGACAAGAAAAGCTTAGTGGGGTCCAATCAATTGTGAACATCTGCATCACTGCATGCAAATTACAAAGAGACTATAAAATTTGATAGGACAGCCAAGGAAAAATCTTGTTTTTTGCTTTAAAAATGCCAAGCTGGTCCCCTCTTCTGTTTCTGTAATTGCAAGAAAACAAATATTTTCATTTCTTTTGCAGAACAAGATCTGCCCTCTTCAATCCTAAAGTTGGGAACAAAGTAAGGAAAAAAATGTAAAAGGGCATCAAGAAAATTCTAAAGGAAATAGCTTTGAGGGTTTCAAATTTTGTACTTTTACTGTTCTTCAAGCAGTGAACTTTCACCAAGTCCCATGAAGCTATGGAAGTTCCTGTCAAAGATTGAAAAATGTGTTGTATTTTTTACCTTTGGGTAGACGTGGGGCCCTGATGATTTGGACCAATGTGTTAGTGTAAAGAATGTTAGTATAAAGTTAGTTGTAACTAAAGTTGTTAAGAATTTGTTAAGTGTTGTTACTAGTTAGTTAAGGGAAGTTGTTAGTTAATCAGCTGATATAAATGAGCTACCAAGCCTCCAATCATGTAAGTAAGATTCATGAAATGAAATGCAGAGTATTCTTCTATTTTCTCTTCTGTTTCTACTATACTTAATAGCTAGGTTTATACCATAACATGGTATCATTCGTCGAAGATCCTGAAGCTGCTACTTCCGTCACAATTATAATCTGCCTTTAGTTTTCTTTGCAAAGAAAAATAACAGAAATGTTAGCAGTTTTTGAGAAATCGATTACCAAGAGCCCCGATGCTCTTAATGTTCCCGGAGACTCTGGAGCAGATTCAGCACTCAATAATGGCTTCTTGGCTGCCCATTTCACCTCTATTCATCCTGGCTCTGTCACTGTCAATCTTGGTTCTTTGGGTTTCATGGCCTACTCTCTCGAAAAGAAAAACCCACTTCTCCCCAGAATCTTTGTTGTTGTGTATGACATTTTCTGCTTGTTTCAAGGCCACATCGAGAATGTTGTTGTTCTTAAGCAACAATATGGTTTGAACAAGACTGCAAACGAGGGAATCATCGTCATTGAAGCTTACCGAATACTCTGAGACAGAGGTCCTTACCCTCCTGATCAGGTTGTAAGAGATATCCAAGGGAAGTTTGCTTTCGTTATCTACTATAGCTTTTCAAAAGCCACATTTATAGCTTCAGATGCCGATGGAAGTGTACCTTTCTTCTGGGGAACTGACGTTGAAGGCCATCTTGTTCTTGCGGATGATACGGAGACCATCAAGAAAGTTTGCAGGAAGTCTTTTGCTCCATTCCCGAAAGGGTGCTTTTTCACATCCCCCGGAGGGTTAAGGAGCTACGAGCATCCTCTAAACGAGTTGAAGCCGGTGCCGAGGGTGGACAGTTCAGGTCATGTCTGTGGTGCAACTTTCAGCGTCGATGTAGAGGCGAATAAGGAATCTACTGGCATGGAAAAAAGTAGGAAGTGCTGCAGATTGGTCTGCAAACTACTGAGCATCGAAACTTCTCCTACTCGGCACAATGCTTGTTATTGGTAGTTGGAACTTGAAGCTTAACAGCCAAGTGTCCATAGTAGAAAATATATGGGGAGAGTCAAGAGTTTAACAGCCTTGTTCTCCTTAACCAGACAAAATAGGGTGTTTTCTTGCCCAATAGAGGCTTCAGATTACACTCGGGAGCTCGTAGCTTAACCGCCTTGCTTCCAACAAAAACATTGTCCGAATAAGTGAAGAATAATGACATTGGGAATGTTAGTGTATGTGAACAGCATGAAGAGTGTTGTGAATAGCATGAAGAGTGTTCATCAGAGAGCAAAGTTGAAAGTGTGAACTGCATCGGGAATGTTAGTGTATAGAATGTTAGTATAAAGTTAGTTGTAACTAAAGTTGTTAAGAATTTGTTAAGTGTTGTTACTAGTTAGTTAAGGGAAGTTGTTAACCAGCTGTTATAGTTAATCAGCTGATATAAATGAGCTACCAAGCCTCCAATCATGTAAGTAAGATTCATGAAATGAAATGCAGAGTATTCTTCTATTTTCTCTTCTGTTTCTACTATACTTAGTAGCTAGGTTTATATCATAACACAATAAACATGTCCTTTATGTTCTTTTTCTCTTGAATTGTTGTTAATATTTACAGAAGGAAGTGTGCTACATACCCTTGTAATAACATAAAGGATAAAGAAAACACATGGTACCTGAATATAGTACTTTACTTTGTTTAGTGATTGGATTATTAAAATTTATAAAATGATTGATCAATTATAGTATGTTATTTTTTAATCTTTCAACTATTAAAAATTATAAAATTATCGCCTGACTATTTATATTAAAGTCTTTTTAGTCATTCAATTATTAAAATTTATAAAATAATTTATCAATTATAGCATGTTATTTTTTAATCTTTCAACTATTAAAAGTTACAAAATGGTCACCTGATTATTCATATGTTTTAATCTCATCATTTTCTATTAAAAAATTGATGGGCATCTAAGTTTGATGTTAACATGTTGATTAAGATATGATAAAATCATATTTTAATGATGTCTACTATCACCGTCGTTGCTTTCAAGCAATGTCGTGATGGCATAATGTTTTAAGCACTAGCCTGACGATAAAATGTAAACGAAGAGTCGATCTATAAAATACAACTCAAACGGTTATGAGTTCAGATTGTATTATATTTCAATCAACAGATTAACGTCTATCTCAGACAACAACTAATTTTTTAATGAAAAAAGACGAGTTTGGAATAAATGAATAGTCGACAGACCATTTTGTAACTTTTAATAGTCAGAGAACTCAACAAAGTATCGATCTATAGTCAAAACTATTTTATAACTTTTAATAGTCAAGTGATTCAACAAAGTAATACCCTATAGTTGAGGGACCATATATATACTTTATCCTAAAATAAAAGTTCAAGGATAAGTTTTAGCATTTAAACAGTATTTTGAGTTTTGAGGTAAGTAGACAACAATAAGATCTGAGGCATCAAGTGATATTTCGTAATAGACATCCATCACCATTCATGTGTAATGTTTTAGAGGTATTTTGAAAGTGACATTCCCTGCAATACTGCCATCGATATCAGACTGCAACGGCACTTTGTTCCAAACTTACTTTGCCTGTAGTGCCATCTTTCAACGTTTGGAAATAAATGTTGCGGGATCCACTTGTGAATGGCTCAATGAATGGAACCACACTTTTAAAGCTACAAACATATGTAGGGAAAGTAAAACAATATGGATTTAGTATGATAGCAATACACTAACCTCGAATGTCTTGTCACATGCATATGGGCTTTCCAAGGCAGCGATGCATATCAGAGCAATTTCTACTCTCAATACCTTTCCCTCCATTGTCAGATAATGCTATGGACAGTTTTAGCAAGAAAATAGAGTTTATCGAAATAAACGAAGAGGTGATATACAAGATAAAATAAGATATGCGTAAGAGATGAGACTTAAAGTAATTAAGACTTGTATATCTCTAGGGATTAAAAAACAATTCAAATTAATTACAAGATAATATATGTTGATAATTTTTCTTAGTCATTAAGAATACATACGCACCTTACAAATAAAACTGCTGAAACAACACTGTCTTTAATCACCGAGTCCACTCAATAAAACTTATATTTTCATCTCTTCACCCAATAATTTCATACTTATAGCACGATGCATGCATAGAAAACAAGCTTCAACTTGAATGCTAGGACAAAACCCAATTCCGTATTTCAAGCGTACAGCTGGAGGTTGTTTCCTCAGGTCAATGGGGCCTGTCAGTAACTCCAGCAGAGCTCACATGTACAAAGCTACAAGCGAAGCAGCGGATAAATAGTCGGATAAGATCCTCACGTTAACAACTCCCTCCCCCAAAGAAAACAAGAAAGTCTAGACCAGATAATGCAAAATATCTCATAAAATTAACAGAAAATAATATTAACCTGGGAGTGATAGGGGCAAATTTGATAGAGTAATCCGAACGCCAAAATTATTTTGGAACATGGGATTTAAGATATCTATTATAATGAATTAAAAATTCGTTACATAAGTAACTGGACATAACGAGATTTATAAAATATAATTTTTTATTAAAATTTGACACGTTGATATAACCCCTCAAATAGGATGTCTCAAGTATGCTTTTATACTCCAGATGGGAAGCTCAAAAGGACCTTCTACAAAACTGGGATTCAATTCCTATCGTTTAGTTTCTAATTTGACCTCTCTACTGAGATAGTGATAATTAACGATTTAATAATTAAAATATATAAATTGATAATGTAATCGATAAAAAATATAATTTTTTAAAACTGATGATAGAAAAAAAAAAAAAAGCGACTGTTCATGTAGTTTACCAAGTTTTAATTAAATTAACTTCAATTATAACAGTAGCCCCCAACATGCGTGAGGCACGTACAGGGACTGCCTAACATATAATAATGCTTGATTTCATTTTCTAGGATCTAGTTTCTTTAGTAAAATATCTAAAACTTTATTAATTAGATTATATCCTATTAATTAAAAGAATTATGTATAATATACAGTTTTTATATGAACGGTGGTTTTTTTTTAAATTTTAAGTGAAAAAAAAGTTTTTTAAAGTAATTTTATTTTAAAAAAATATTAATGGTTCCCTCGATTTTTTAGCTTTAGCTTATTTAAGGAATAATAAAGAAATTTTAACGAGCTGCATGCATTTACTACTAGCATGGGCTACGTTTTCAATTTCAAGACTTTTAACTTTGCTTTATTATTTTCTCAGATTCAAAAAACCTGCAAAATTTTCTTCCAGGAAGAAAGAGTTGAAAATCAATGGAATACTATGCAAGCAGTTCAGCAGCCGTAAACATTGACCGCAAGCATCGCCATAAATGCAGAAACATCTGTTTTGCAACGATGGGTGTTTTATTATTCTTTATAATCCTCATCGTGATCTTAATTTTCACGGTTTTCAAGCCCAAAAACCCCGTCACAACGATCAACTCAGTCACCTTAGCCGGCCTGAAGCTTTCCCTGGATTTGACAAAGTTCCAGGTGTTGTTCAACGCTACCCTGGACGTGGATCTCTCGATCAAGAACTCGAACAAAGTGGGGTTCAAGTACGCTGACTCGACCGCTTATTTGAATTACAGGGGCCAGAAAGTAGGCGAAGCTGCAATTCCAGCCGGAACGATTTCCGCAGATGACACGGCTACGATGATTCTGACGATGACTGTCATGGCGGATCGATTCATATCGGATTCGAATTTTTTGGGTGATGTCTGGGGTGGTGAACTGCCTTTGAACACATTTGCAGAGGTTTCAGGCAAGGTTAATGTCTTGAATCTGTTTAAGATCCACGTTGTTTCTACAGCTTCATGCGATATTATTGTCTTTTTGTCAAATTCAACTGTTGCAGACCAAAACTGCAACTATAACTATGAGTTGTAAGTAATATTTCCATTTTTTGGATTTTATTTACTGTTTTGTAGCAGCTCGCTTTGTAATTTTTTTCCCCTTAATAGAGATGTTATCATATGAATTTTTTAATGGAAAAGAAAAGGATCGTCGATGATTAAATTTAAGATCTAATATAATTTAATGTTAAAACGATGTCTCTTATATATCACATATATATTATGATATTATATTATTTTCTTTGTTAGTGCATGGTGAATATGCATAAAATTTTCTTTAGCCTTAACTCTACAATGATTCAATATATTTTCTCCTGAGACAAAGTAAAAAAGTGATTAGAAATGTTGACAAAAAAATATTTAACATCCGTTTGAAATTTAAGTGTTAAACGATCTGATCGTTATAATTGATTAACTGAATGACTTAATTGTGACTTTTAGAAATATAGTGATCCAATTGTAAACTTAAAAATAATAGAGTGATTTATGGTGGAATTTACTCTGTTTATGTTTATTTTTAGATATTTGAAATTTTTGAAATATAGATTTTAAATGTATATTTCATAATCATATATATATATATATATATTTGAAATTTATAAATACATTTTTGTTCCTTTTATAGTTTTTATTGATTTTGATTCACATTTTTTATTCAAATTATATATCTTTTGATTTAGATTTTTTTATCTTCACCAATTTAATTTGAGGTTATATGATTTCCTTTTTAATAAAATGAAATTGAGGTTGTTTGAGACTATGATGGATTATTGTGACCATTTCTGGAAGAGAAAATGCTAACAATTACATGAAATCCAATTAGATTAAAACATATTACTTTAAGAATAATGATTAAAAGAAGCTTATAGTAGGAATTAAAGTTTTACAGTGCCTTCCCACGGGCCTCCTCACTTGAGGCCTAACAAACCAAAATGTAAACTTGCTCTAGCCACCTTACTAATAAAAAAAAAAGTTTTGAAGTACCTTGGTTAAAGAAAAAAACTCTTATGTTTCATAATATTTTCCCTGCTCGATAGGAAATTGGACAAATATGCTACTTTTTTTATATGATATCCAAACTAATTTTATTATGGAATAATCATTGTTGAACTCATTGACTGGTCTCAATACTTAATAGTTAAATGGAATATTATTATTTTTTGGGGTCTTAAATTAAAACAGTTAAATCGTAGAATGTGTATACATTATCATTAGTTAAAAAAATTTAACAATTTGACTACTAAAGCCATTATTTCTATTGATAACAACACTACCATTAACTATTGGAGTCACTTTATGATTTCGTCGGCCAATTAAATACTACCACTCCAACAAACGTCATGGTGATTAGAGATTATATGGGAATGTGATTAAAGGATCTTTTGTACACATTAAACCAAGCAAAACCCTTTTTTTTCAGATTATCACAACATTTTATAATTGCCGACAGTTTTTAACTAATTTAACTCGAATTTTTGTGAGTTTTCTTTTGTCTTTCCTTCATTTAGTGTCAATTTAGGACCATATTTCTCTTCTTCTTCTTTTTTCTTTTTCTCCATTTGTTTAAGTCAACACTGTCGACCATTTGTTTTCATTCATCTTAAGGGGTACATGTCATATACGGTGAGGGAAAATGGCGTACATTGACATGCGTTGCTTCTTTGATCTTTATTGTTGAATTTTGATGCAATTTTCTCTTCAAAAATTACTGCTTTAATTGACTAAAAATTTGAATGGGTTCCAATGTTGAAAATTTTCAAGAGAAAATAAAACAAAATGGTCCTATAAACACAATGCAAAATAACGGTGAGGGAAAAAAGGTTCGTCGACCGTGTTTACCTCGGTCAGTAAACAAGAGAACATAGGATGGAATGTATTTGAACATTAAATATCTTTTAATTTATGAGTATCTTATGTATCAATGTAAAAAAGACTAATTATTAATCAAAAAATGGTCTCTAAAGCAAGTTTTGATATTTATTTAAGTCCATGCACAAATCAAACAACATCAGTGGTTAAAAAATTGTTATTATTCCTTGAGGTTTCGAGTTCGAACACCACATATGCTAAGAGTATGAGTGTTCAATGTTAAATAATTGAAAGTTTGAACAAATAATAGCTTATATTAACCCAAATTAATAAAAAAAAAATTAAGTCCATGTACGATACAATGCATTTCATCCCCTTGCCATTTGTTATTTAAACAAAATAATGGTTAGAATTGGATGTATAGAGAAATTTTTAGGTAAAAAAAGTCAAATACCTTTCCTCTACGCATTAATCTCTCCATTTCTAAAAACATCTATGATTGGGGTTCATTAGAGCTCTGCATAATTAATCACTTGACATTTATGGTAGTTTTATATATGAAAGAGTTTTGGTTGTTTAAAGCATGTTTCTTCAGGTTATTTATGGGTTATTGAGATTTTAGGTTGGAGCATTATTATGTATAGATTTTAATTAAATTTTAATCTTTATCATATATGAGTTTTGTCAAAATTTACATATGTTAATCTGATTGTTCTATGTAATGATTAGTTTAGATAATAATTACCTAGATATATTAATTGGATTTATGTTTTTAAAAATTATTATTTTTAAGTCCAAAACTATAGTATAAATACAATTTGAATAACTAAGACTTATACCTAATATTACTGTGAGTTGAAAACAGATGTCTTGCACATATAGTCCTAAGTCAAAATTTAACAGGAAAGTAGTACAATTATATTGTAGATTTATGCCTAAATTAATTATTAACCTTTTATTTAACAATTCCTTCTCCTTGGCGTGGAATGTAAGGGAACTCATTTCATTGGGCTACTCCACCATGCGTTAAAAATGTTTCTTTGGTCAAAACTTAAGAATTGATCTAAAATGATTTGGTTTTCGTTGGAAAGGGTATTTTTGAGTTGCAAAATTATACACAAAATGAAGTTTTCAAGAGTAAGAATAGGGTTGTAAACTATTTGTATATTGTTTATTTATATTTAGTTGTTAAGTTAAATAAATAAGTATGAATAAATATTTTATATTCATTTATTTAATAAAAGAAATTATACAAATATATGTTTGGTTCATTTATGTCGGTGAACAAACTAATTATTTATCTATTCCTTTATTTAAAATTGAAAATTTTCATATAAATATACTTTAAAAAAGTATTTTTTTTTTTTTTTTGGAATTCTAATGGCATCCGTATCTAAGTATAATTCTATATCATTCTATTAGGACATGTACTGTTCGTAAGACCGTTATATATTTATGATATGACCTATAAACTCGTATATTATTTGACGTATTTTCAGTGTTAGTGTTTTATTGGGGAACTCTACATCTCTAAACTTTTTTTTAAATTCAATTATTCTGGAATCTATCAATTTTTATTTATTATTTATTTTAAATTATAAAGTGTGAAGGTTTTGTTGGATCCCTTCAGTGATTTGATTGTGACATCTCCGGATTTAAATCATATTTAGAGTGTTACAAATAAACTTGAAAAATAAATATACTAAAATTAACAAAGATTTACTCATTCCGTTGATTTACAATTCATGTCCAAAAGATTTGTTGAGAATTGGATTCATATGAATTTCTAATCCCGGCAATGGAACTGCAGCTGGTTGTGGATTACGTGCGAAACAACCAACAACGTTGGAAGAGAATTTCAAGCTCTAAAACCCTCATCATTGTTCTTTAGTCTTATCTAATTTGGCTCTTTTTGCTAGGGATTTTCTTTTGCCTTTGCGTCTGCATAAACAACATTCCCAGTTTTAGATGCATTTCCATTACAAGCCTTGCTTCCTTACCTCAACCTTTAGCAGTGAAATCAGTCCCCCACTAACAAGCAAAGATTTAGGAAGCTAAGAACAACGCCTTATGATGCAGGGCGTGAAGAGACCATTGGAAAAAAAAGGACAATTTACCACGTTGTTTAAGGATTTTTACATTGTCTTTAACAACCACAGGTGTTTGGTCTTAAATCTTATTCTTTTCCTTCACAGTTCTGACAATTGAGAGCTTGGTATGCCGATCAGAGCTTCAAATTCTAGTCAGTTTTACACCTCGGCTAAACCAGTAGAAACTAGCTTCCATCTGGCGGTGGGCCGGTGGCTGTCACGGTCTCATAGTTAAAACTTGAGGGGAATTTCAAAGATTGAAGATTCATTCCATCAAATGTCGAAATCAAACAGTGCAACACTAGTTTTATTGAGCTGCTTCCACGAAACCCAAAGCCTAACTAAGTCAAAATAATATCAGATTTGTGTGCGTACTATCTATAACTTTTTGGACCAAAATTTAAGGGTTGGCGCTGGTGAATGCAATTGCCCAAAAAATTGGCCGGCAGCTATCACTCTCCTTAGTCCTATAAGGATAGACATATGATTTCATATAAGGAATTACAAATTTAAAAAGTTATATTAGAAATTTAAGTGTACAAGATTATAAAATCTTAGAAATATAAAATTAGATTATTAATAAAAAAACAAATTATATAAAAATTAAAAATTTTATGAATACAACCGAGTCTCAGTGGCCTCTGTTCGTCCCTATGCCTAACTCTTCTTTTTCTTTCCCACTCTTAATCACAAGGTTCAGGTATTTATTATGAACAGTAATTAGAAATTTTTAAAGAATTTGTACAAAACCAAAATAGATAGTATTAAACTCGACTTTGGCACCTTCCTTGTCTCCCAGCTTTCCAGCCGTCATCTTCCCTATATATTTGTACGCCAAACCCTTTTTTAAGGCATCACAAAACCATTGCATTACAACTTTCCTCTTGAGTTTTTTTCTTTTCTTTTCAAACTTCACCATCAAATCCCAGATTCCAATTGTTTTAACGCGAAATATTCATGGCTCGTTTTAGTTCTTTGGTTCCTATTTTCTTGGTGATATTTGCTTCTTCATTTATGCCACAAATGGAAAGTAGGAAGCTGCTAATAAACGCAGGAGAAAGCAGTGAAAATGTTCCTCTATTGTTGGCTAGCTTGGTGCTCAACGCCCTTCCCAAGGGTACGGTGCCGGCGGCTTCAGCTTCTGGCA